AAAATTTTCTCCAACAAGAATTGGGACAGCAAGTATTTCTCGAAGTGGACGATCACAGCAAAGATTTGTAGAAAATATGAATACAACCAAAATACTTTCACCTGACATCATATCTATAATACAAGATTCTAATTTCTGGGTTCAGCTCTATGAACTTCAAAATTTACTATTTCCACTATGTGGAATACTAAATAAGCTTCAGAAAAATGTGCAAGACTTTTTGAAATTATGCATTGTTTCGGATGGCTCATTAAAACTTTTGCAGACTGTAAAGATGAAGATTTTTCTGAACACATGGTCGCACGATTAGAAAAACGGTGGGCCCAATAGGAACAACCCTTACTCCTTCTATCATTTGTCTTACATCCAAAATATCGACTCTCAACATTTTCTTCCAATGTTTCTGGTCTTTCTTACTCTCACTTCGGTTAATGGTTAAATTACTATTATCATGCTTGGTTTGGTGAAGTACCAATATATATTTTGCGTGAATTCTTGTTATATCAAAGGGAAGTATTTCCTTTCAATAAGGAAATATATAACCAATTCAATGGAAATATTATTGATTTTTGGGATTCTGCAAAAGGTTTAGCACCCAAATTATCTCGACTAGCTTTGCAATTGTTTGGCATTTGTATCAATTCTGCTTCGGTGGAACGTTTATGGTCAACGATGGGTTTCTTACATATGAAGTGCCGAAATCGCATGCCAGTATATAAACATTATTTAGTTTATTGTAATCTGTTTATAATTTTATATTGCTAATTCTGTTAAGTTTATTAATTTAAGCATGACAAGGTGTTTGCTATGAGCCAATTGCGTGGCGATATATTAAGCAAGCGAAAACGTAACGAAGCTGAAGAGGCTGAACAAAAACATAAAAGAATCCGGCTTGCAACTCCTATTCAACCTTACAATTCTGATAACCAAGGCACTACACAAGAAGAATTAACAAGCGACAATGAGGATAATGATTTGTTTGTTTCTGAAAATTCACAGTTAAATGAAATCTCTCAAACGACAGAGGTTACGGCTGAAGATGTAAACAATGATCCTGACATTTTTAGCAAAGAGAGTTGGTTAAATGTGGTGGAAAATTGGACTAATACTGTAGATGATGAAGATAATTTCGATCAGAATGAATCTTCAAGTAATGAAACACTTGAATTTGAATTAGGTGGACGTATTACTCATCCAGCGGATGATCCGTTGGCAAAATGGAATTTATTGAATTTATTCAATGATTCTTTAGAAGCACCCGTTTCATTCGCATTTTAAGAATTTTAATGATTCATTAAAGTTTGATCGGCACAAATAAATAAATAGTATTTGAAATATAAATACTTATATAATTCCTGAATTAGGCATGAATAAATAAATAAATAAATATGCACGAATATGCTAGTGTGGTCTTGTAGTTAATGTTAATTTATAAATAAAAAATTAAATATATATATATAACAAAATTTAGAGTTAATAACCACCGGTCCAAATCAGATACACGTAAAAATTTGAAAATTTTTACGTATCTCTGGCCCAAATACCTTAATGATACTATTCATATCACGCAGATTAAAAACTCAGGACATAAAACAAATTATATAGATTAAAAAATACCCGGTTGCAGACATTTTACATTTTAAAAGCACTGCACATTATTAAAGAATTCTTGTTGTTTGTATCTATTACTGTATTTGTGCATAATAGTGTGCCAGGGTGTTATTTCGAGTAATGGCCCGAATTAAACTTAATTTAGGCCGAAATTCGAAATTACTCCCTATGCGTTATTATGCGCAAATATAGTATATATTTTTAAATGACTCTACAAGTCATTTCATATTTTTAAATGACCAATGACTGGTCATTATTCACTTGAGTCATGAAGTCATTTCAGGTCATTTACTATCCCTGCTATTGACTGATGATTCTAGTTTCAAATATATATAATTTATTATTATTACCATAGTATGTGCTGTTGAATTAGAATTAACAAGAATGATACCTTCTTTGTTTATATTAAGGTTAATTCACAAATTATTTATGTCAACGCCACGTTTAACCTTTTATTAATGATAAAATATATAAGAAATACATAGTTCAAATTCCTAGCAAGCACATAAAAGTTACATATTATATGCCTCAGAGATACAACAAATAGGCTGCATCTATTTATATAAAATCATAAGCAATATCCATTAACATATATATCTCAGTGATAAAAGCAGTACCCGTCACTATATATAGATATAGTGAAAAATGATACCTATTGATATATACTGAGTGTAGCAATTATGACTATACTGAGATAATTCAAAGGGATAGTTAATGTGGCTTAGAGATACAGGTAGTAACTGTCGATAATATGTCTCAGTGACATCGTGAGAAATAAAACAGTATGCAGTACCCATTGATATGATAATATATCCATAAAAATATACTCACTTTTATATTCAGAATCATTTTTGCTTTCTGAACTTTCTTATTATCTTTACAATTTTGAGTGATTGAACGTAGACTCCTCAAAAGTGCATTATTTGCTTTTTGATATTGAAGTTTTCCTGGATCATTTTTGTGTTTTTCTATTCAAGCTTTATGAAAACTTAAGATACTCCAAGTATCAGCCTCATTATTGTTAAAATACTCATTCTATTTTCGATTTGTCATTGTGTCGTTATGAATGAGAAGTGTTAAAAGTGATTTGTTTTGATTTTCGGTAATAATTCTGTAATTATGATGATTTGGTCATGTAAAGATCATCGATCAACCTGAACTAGTGATATGACCTGAAATAGAGGTTTAATAATTCGGGTTTATCACATGAATTTTGTGATATTTTAGAATTTATTAAAATTTAATTAGATAAATTTCTAAAATATCACAAAATTCACGTGATAGCACTGAATTATTAAAACTGGTTCCAACCTCTAATCCGAAATCCAATTTTCACTGAAAATGGAATCTAATAGTTACTTATAATATAGGCTAAAGACCTTTACTACAAAAAAAAAATAATAATAATAATATTGGCTAAAGAAAAGACTAATTATAATCGTAATAATTTGCCAATTATTGTTGTGGAAAATACTTAAACCCTGTGTATTTTATTTGTTTAATTATAATTATAATATAAACGTTCATAGGACAAAAGATGATTACAATAAACAAGAATCATTCGTAAGATTCATAAGAGAAAAATTTATAGATATCATGTTCATTGATGATTATTACCAAATATGACTTAAGGCCTCGCCTTAATACCAAAAAAAAAACCCCCAAATGTGACTTAAAAATTATAATGATATTTTTTTGCTTCTAAGCTAAACATTTGTATATACTTTAAATAATTCTTTAAATAATCTGATACAAACAACTTTTGAATAATCTAGTTTTTAATATATAATCCAGATGCAAGTTAATTGATGCAGATTTATTATAAATTATATTTAAAAAAAGCTTATCCCCTGTTATTTACATATTTTTAACCTCTAACTTATAAATTTTATACCTCGAAAAAAACTTTGAAATTTTAACCACTATTTTTACTTTTTACTATTATCTTAACTCTTATAAAAAACTTAGAATAATTTCTATAACAAATACAAAACTTAC